CACCCTGACCTTGCTCAGTTTTGGCATTTTTGCTTCAGCTCCCTGGTTTTGGTAGAAGCATGGAGTTCAAAGGGACATTAGGGAGCTTTTAGTCTTAAATACACATGTGCATAGTTACTCTTAAAGTCAACGTATAATGGAAATATACAAGCCTATTATATATACATGCACACTTTTCATAATTTCAATTATACTGAGACCTACAATAAGTCAAAGATCGAGTTCATACCCTGCCAAAAGCAACTCTACAGCATAGAATTCACATAATGCAACCTTCTCCAAATATGAGCTTCCATTGATCCCAAGTAGAACAGACAGATCCCAACCATCTGAGGCACCAAGCCAGGCAAGACTTAACATACAGGATTCCCAACAGCCGGCCAACAGGCCTATGCTTAAATCCATCCAATGAAGACCCCACCAGTCAGTTATGCCATCCAACAGTCCATACAAATCAAAAATTTCTCATAAGAGTTAGCTTTCTGGCACTGGTTCTAACCTTGCAGGGGAACAATCCATAATCCTCCATAAAACATCAGCTTACTACAAGAACTCAACACTGCGGTACAGGAGATAGAAGACAACAAGCCACCAATGTCTGACAGAGCAAAGAAACAGAACAGAATTGGTTGAGTCTAGGTACTACCAATCCTGCACAGCAAGAGCTAAGAGCAGTCTCCACTGGGACCCCTGGAGAGAACATCTATCAAACAAAATTGCAATCCAGAGGAGACAAGACACAAGCTGCCAAAAGAAAACTTCCTAGTGACCCAGACATCACTGTGGGAGGAAGAGAACAGCCACAGGGGGAAAAAATCCCAGGCCAGCCACACCACACCCTAAAAAAAGACAGCAAACCAACCACCTCTCGTTCCCCAGCATGGGAGAGATTCTTTCCCAGCACAGTTACATAGATGGTCAGGAGATGCAAAGCCAGTCTCAAAAAGAAAATGGACACACTTTCAACTTCCAGTAATTTCACAGTGCAAGTTCTTCTTTTTTACCAGCAGCCCCAAGACCAAAGCACAAAATGGTAGTTTTACGCTTGAAATCTAAGCTTGATTTTCTTTTCACAGAATTGACATCAGGCAAGACTAACATTCCACACAACTTCATTTATAAGATGTAGTAAAACCAGCTTCCTACCTTTTGGAGTCTGAGAACAGGCAGGTGAGTTCCAACACTTCTAGACAGTCTGAGTGTCCCCAGTCACATCTGGCAGATCTTCAACCTAAACAAGAAGTAAGAAGGTTAAGTTTTACTAATATCAGCGTTTTGCATAAGTTACAGCTTCTAAGCATTTTCCAGGGCACCACTGAGGGGATTGCCTGGTTTGAGTAATCTAGGATTTGGTCATCTTAGTCTAGACAGGGATATACTAGGCTACCTACCAGAACTGGTAGGAGACACTATCCTGCTGAGGATGCCTGAACCTCAAGTGACAGATGTAGCTCAAGAAGACACCAGAACTATAAACCTGTTCCTTCAACCTTATCTAGAACAAATTAAATATCTTACATCCAAGAAAGTAACCAAAGAAAAAGATAGATTACTTGCTTATTGAATACTACTTAGACTAATGTTTCCCGGGTCATTTTCTCCCTTTTGTATCAAAAGACTCACCATTTTATACTGGACTAAGTTAGTTACTACTAAATAGAAAGCTTTCATACTAGAGCAATTACAGTCTATAAAAAACAGAAATAGTACAAAAAGGCATAGCAGTATTAAATTACAGCCACTGTTGGTGGCAAAACTCTCTAACATCCTCAGGGAGTAAAGCATCAAGTATACATTCAAAGTTCATTAATATAAAATGATTAAAGCCCCAGGTTGAACATGAATTAGAATCCTTGTTGCCCCTTCAGAAGCACCAGCTATACAGAAAAGTAACCACACCCACTAACTTCAACACATTGTATCTTAAAAGAACTTCAAAAAAAGAAACTTGCAAAATAAAACAAACACTACAACAAAAACATAGCAGAGCATTCAGGAACAAAGCTTTAAACAGCACAGAAAAACACCAAAATAAAACAACTTACAAGAGTGTTACATGAAGCCAGCCAGCCAGCCAGCCTAGCTCACATGCATCCACTCTTGAGAAGATCAGTTACAAGACTGCAAATTGCCACCTGCTGAACTGCTCAGTTTTATCTCATTAGCTGCAGCCAAGCCCCGCCCTTTTCACCCAGAATCCTTTGTTGGCTTAGCTATATAAGCCTTTGCTGTAGGGCGTGGCGCTGGTTTGCCGGTGGGATGTGAGAAGGGGTGTTAATTCTCAGGGCTGCAGTGCAGAAGCCTCCCTGTGATGGAGCTATGTAAGTTTTTCCAGATATTGGAGTAGCAGAAGTCGTCTGCTTCTTCTCCTTTCCTGTTGGATGGCTTCTCCTGGGAGTTTTTAGAAGGGCTGGGGGCCTCTTTTGTGGAGGGGGGGGAACTTTCTTCTATCAGTCCAGAGGTAGCTGTTTCTGAGAGGCGTGATTTGGGTGTCAGTACAGGTTCCTCCACCCCACCAAGGCACTGCTGTGCCCCCGAAATTCAGCTCCTGTGACCTCTGCCCCAGGTTGTTGGGGCCTCTGGTTTGCCAATGTCTGAAGGGTACATGTTGAGGGCAACCATAAACTGCTCTTTCCTGGAAGCTTTACTCCTGAAGCTTAATGGGAAGGCAGGCAAAGAACACACAGGGAAGGAAACAGCACTGCCAGGAGGCGATGAAGGGGCTACTATGGGGATACTTAATCCCTACTTTACAGATACAAAGAGTAGTACTCCCCTTTCCCTTCCAGGTACTATAAACGTGAGCACAGCGTAATCATGCGCACACACCCTAGGGATTTGTGTTTGTTCCTAGGCTCGGGATGCCTCCCTGAGAGCAAGAATTGCAACGGAGGCGTGGCCTGCCTTTGAGGCGACTCTTACATGACCCTCTTCTAACTGCCCCCTCCCGGCCTTGCTGTTCATGGGCATTTGCTGAAACCGAGGGACGAGGCCCTAGGGCTTCGTGCAGTGTCTCCTTTCTTCTGGCTGTTCCGCCTACACGTGTTTCAGAGCTTTGTTTCTGCAACACTTGGCTCTTTCTGCCTGGATGGAGGCGCCCTCCTCTCCCATCAGGGCTTCCTTTTCTGCGAATAAGGATGCCTTCAGGGGAGAGGATTTCCAAGGCAAACACAAACGGAGAGAGACCTGAGGAGGTGTGTAAATGCACGGTGTTATTTCGGGCTGGAGGGCCTGAGCCGCGGAGGGCTTAGGTGCCTAGCGCTGGCCTTCAAAATGGCGACAATGGGGGAGGTGTACTCGCCCTTCTGCCCTCATTGAATGGTAGCGAATTGAAGGGGATGCAACTCTCTTTCCATTCCTGCTATAGATACTCCCAAGAACGTAAAGGCCAGCTTGTCCTCTGTGTCCTTTACCTCCCATTTGCCGCAGAAATAGTTGCAGATGCCCTACGGGAAGATAGTTTTGGGATGGGGGAGACCTTGACGTCACTGCCCAGCTTCGTCTCCCCGCTAGAAGCCAATTGCGCCAACTGTGGGGTGGCATCTTTTCTCCCCCTGCTTTGTGCCTCCATTGTAACACGGCTTGCAATAGCGGGGGGCCTTGTCCCACTTTCCATGCAAGGCAATCCCCTTAAAAAGGACGTGACCTGCAATGTAAGGGGGACACCCACTTTTCTCGCTGAAATGATATTCCTGAACAGTTTCCTTTATTGCTGAAATGGCCCTGGGTGAGGAGGGAGAATGTTAACGGTGCTCTAACTCTCCCCACGCCCCACCTCGAATGCACAAATGCAACTGCGTGTTCTCTTGCAGAGGAAAAGGCCGTCTACTGCGGGGGAGAGCTACCCGGAATGCCCATCGAGTTCAACGAGCACCGACTCCCGAAGGAGTGAACCTGCGTGTCTTTCTCTGGATATGCAGCCCCTCTCCACTATATGCAAGTACTTGGAATTCATTCATTCATTCGTTCATTCATTCATTCATGTATTAGGGATATTTCTAACCCGTCCAATCACGATGCGCCTCTGGATGGTTTGCAAACCGTACGTGAGAGCGGGGACCACCTTCGCTGCCCCAAGGGAGCCTACACGGGTTAGGGACCCTTCGCAGCCCTTCTCTGCAGCCCGGAGGAACTATTGCTTGGCTCTCTCCTTCCCCGCACAGCCTCGACGCGTGTCTTCTGAACCACGAGTCCTTTGCCTGGATTTCTCGCGGAAGAGACAATTGCCATGGGATGCGGCTGGGAGGGAGGGAGGGCGCCCCCCACGCACTCGGCCGCGGGTCTGCTGGACCCCGGGCGGGCGTCCTCGTGCGCGAGGGGGCGCGGCCGCCCGCCCGCCCGCGCGTGGCGCGCTTCCCGCCCCGCCGCGCTCCTCGACGCGTGCCTCCGGACCGCCTTCCCACGACCCCTCGCCTCGCGTGCTGGCGGCGGGAGGCGGGGCGCGCGGCTCGGGCCGCCTTCCCGCGGGCCCCGCGACTCCTCCTCGAGGCGGCCGGGCGCGCGCCGCGGGGG